TAGTTCAAGTAGGGAGCTGTGTCAGCACGCGGAGGCTGCAAAGGAACAAGTAAAGGTTGGTTCCATGCACCTGAAAAAAGGCTCCACGGCCTAAACGTTGTTTCTTCTCTTTTCAGCATGGAACAAACCTTTACTTGTTCCTTAATAACACTTAAGACTTTCCATGTTTTTATAGATTTTCTCTGTGTAAGTTGTAACCCCTGAGTTACAGTGTTAGTCAGTCTTTTAAAGGAATTTAGGGGGACCAGGCTAAGCTTGTTAGCACCAGGATGCCGGGCGAATGTGACGCGCCATTATGTAAGGTCAAACAGATAAGCATGTGAAAGGAGAGGGCAATTGGTATTCAGGAGAAAAATGCCTGCCAGTACTGCTGCATGATAATTACTACAATCCCTGACCAAAATGAATCCTTGCAGAGAGCAAAGACAAAACTAGCAAAGGCTGCAGGAGGCTGTGAATTTTTTGTGTCGTCCCATACAGCGTAAGCAATCCTGTTCTTTACATTAGCAATGGCAAAAATGGGAAAATATAGCTTCATTTGTGTTTTCAGGAAAATCTATAGTTTTACCAATGGGGTTTTTACTACGAGGTGCGTACTTTACATTTTCATAAACACCTGCAATCCTAACCCTAAATCAAGAGCATGAATATCAAATTCTTATGATAAGAGTTTGTAAACTGACAGAGTGTTCCCAACAGGTTTTTATTCTGTTACACTAAAGGTTAAGATAAAGGTCAGCTTTTTTGGAGTTTACTGCTGATGTGAAAAGGATTTTCATAATGGCTTCTGTATAAGTTGATACTATATGATAGCTGATAACACTTGCTTTTGCATAAGTTGCAAGGACAATAACAAAGGCAGAGTATTAAAAATTAGTTGATTAACACGGTTATATAGGATTAAGACATTAGGAATCTAGATATTTACTACAGAGTATTAATACTATAGTTTAAACCTCCCCCATAATATTTTTTACTAAATTTAGCTTTTATTGTAGTATAAAC